GGTTACTTCATGCATGTTAGCACGGCATCAGGTGAGGAGGGAGACTCGGCCTGGCTTGAGACCCACAGGATGAGTCTCAATAGGGAGCATCATGAACAGTGTCTCCAGTTCTACTATTTCCACAGTGGGAACATGTCAGACCACCTCAACATCTGGATCAGAGAGTTTCAGGATGAATTGGACCTCAAGGGAACCCTACGCCTCATGGGACAGATCACTGGTAATTAGGGGTGTAACAGTATCCGTATACGTACCGTACCGTCACGGTTCGGACGTCACGGTTCGGCACACGCAGTCACACGACGAATACGCCCTTTTTTTTACGAGTGGGGAAAAAAGTCTGTGATTCAGGGCAGTATTCACTAGTGATGTGTCGGTCGCGAACGAGCCGGCTCAAAGAGCCGGCTCTTTTAAGTGAACGACGGGAGCCGGCTCGCGCCCGCGAACGAGCCGGTTTTTAATTTTTTTTGCGGAGGGATCTTGATCGGCATGAAGGCACATTATGCAATGTGCACATTATCCCGCTTATTACATGGCCACATTCTCAACAAATTAACGACATGACTCCCAATATTAATTGAAATGCTTTTATGGATTTAGAAAATGATTTTATTGATTTAAAACATAGTTGTATGTATTTATTTAAATTGACATGCATCCGCTAAGAAAAATAGTCCGTTGTTACTGTTTGAACCATAGACTGTATATATAAAGGTTTGAACTAACGTAGCAACGGCAGGAACTGCTTCGATAGTGTTTTTGAGGAGCTTTTTGATTACAGATTTGAAAACATCGTTGCTTGCTTTAAAAGTAGCACAATTCATTATGTCAAACTTTGGAAAGTATCTAGATATCCCTGCCCTAATGCCAAAGTAACTGGCAACTGAATATGTGTCGCCTTTTGATGTCTATGTCTGGACCGCTGCGTAAAAAGGAGGGTTTCTACCCCATTACTTCTCTTCTTACTTCAATAAGAATAAAACACAGAGGAGGAAGATCTCTTTTTCTCCCCCTCTTCTGAGAGCCCAGCAGCTGATCTCAGAGCACGCTTCCCTCTCATGCAGGGGGGCGTGGTCAGCTGCAGCTCACAGAAACATATACTTTATATAGATATGGCCCTACAATATATTGTTCAAATATAGCATGATAGGTCCACTTTAAGTAATACAAGACAGAATGATGATGATGATCTCCGCGCTACAGCTGCTCCGTGCATGCATGCAGGTGACATGTAATATCCAAGGATTAGAGACGGTTGGATGCTGCTGTTTTGAGCATTGCAATATATTTATTTTCACTATGTTATTTATTTATGATTATCCTTAGGCTCAGCAAAGATTTTATGTCAGCTGTTGCTGTCTTTTTTTCTATAGCTAATAGTTACTGAAATAGAGCCTTGCTGTTTTGTCAGGGCCTTTTCTTTAAATATAATTTTAAAATGTCGATACAGTAGCCCCTTTTTTAAAATAGTTTTTATAGGTGTTGCTATCTGTTTTGTGTAGCGTGGTTCTACAAGCAAGTCAGTGCATTCATTGGGTGGTATCAGAGAGTTACACGGGTCTGTAAATGCAATGAAAAGATTTAGCCACAGCAAATCATTTATATTAAACATGTAATTTTTACTTTTGAATACTTCAGTACAAAGGATGCATTGAATAATTTAAGTGATATATGTGTACACATATACATCATTCATTAGTCAAAACAGGGCTACATTTGATTTCATTAAAAGGTATAATATGTGGTAAACTGAAGAGCCGTTTGGGAGCCGAAAGAGCCGGCTTTTCTTGGTGAGCCGAGCCAAATGATCCGGCTCACCAAGAAGAGCCGGAATTCCCATCACTAGTATTCACTACACTATATATAATCCAGGGGGCGGTATTGCGCCTAAAAGCTGTTTGTCAGCCGCCCTTAAACAATAAATGAAGAACAAGAAGAAACACAACAACAAAACGAACAAAATACAAGAAGAAGAAAAGTTAGTAGGGCGATTTCAGATAACACACAGGAGCTAGAACCCACCTGCTTCTTTTAAATTAGCTGTGTGGGAACATGTCGGGTTCCCTGTGGACTACAATAACGATTAAGTGTGCGAGTGGTGGATCGGACGAGTGGTGGATCGGACGAGGACGGTGTGTCGGCGTTGTTCGATAGCGGTGCGGTATGCTAATGGTAACACACAGGGGCGGCGCCAGGGGGGAGCTAGGGGGTGCTGAAGCACCCCCTAAGCACCCCCAAGAAATATGTGTTTTTTTTTGTTTGTTTTTTAAATATTATTATTATTTTTATTAAATTAGAAATATTATTGATTACATCAATGCATATGTGAAACACATTTTGACCAAAAACATAAAGCCAACACAGGTGATATGATTAGGCCAATGGCCAGCACCCATTCGATTTTTGACCTACTCATAGGCTAAATTACTTTGTGACACTTGAGTGACTTCCTGTTAGCTAGAGCGCCAAATGATTTGCTAACAGCAATGTGAAAGATGGATCGTTTTTTAGTCCTTAAACGTCCACGTGTGGACACTCAATCAAAACCAACTGAAAGCGAGAGGGATTCTGCACATAATAGGCCTCGTGAGTACAAGTAGCTTACCTCTGGGTCTCTGTGTTTCATTCAAGCCCGTGTGTGTGTGTGTGTGTGTGTGTGTGTGTGTGTGTGTGTGTGTGTGTGTGTGTGTGTGTGTGTGTGTGTGTGTGTGTGTGTGTGTGTGTGTGTGTGTGTGTGTGTGTGTGTGTGTGTGTGTGTGTGTGTGTGTGTGTGTGTGTGTGTGTGTGTGTGTGTGTGTGTGTGTGTGTGTGTGTGTGTGTGTGTGTGTGTGTGTGTGTGTGTGTGTGTGTGTGTGTGTGTGTGTGTGTGTGTGTGTGTGTGTGTGGCACGAGCCATTTTGTGTGCGTGCGTGCGCGAGCGAGAGAGCTCGCCTCGCGCACCAGTGGGTATCTACCGGAGATCGTTGTGGTTAGCATCTGGTGCTAGCTAGCCAAGCTAATGGATATAAGGAGCTTTTTCAACAACAAGGTGGAGGGAGAACTCTCTCCTGTCAGATTGAGAGTCTCAGATAACCTCAGCTCAGGTGAAGTAAAGGACTCTCAGTGTTTAGATAGTTAACTTTAGTCTAGTTATCTCAGTGGGTCTCAAACGGTTTGTTTTAAAAGGGGAGTGATTTGTAAAATATCTATAAAGAAATAGAAAATCTGTTGACAGTTATGTTTCGTATGGGTGTTGAGAGATGTATCCATAGATCTCTTAATGTTGCTCTCAAAGTGCACCAGATTGATGCTTTTAACTTCAATATTTAACAAAAATTCTTCGCCTATATGCCGTGAGCTGATTATCGAGCCTTCATTGTAACAGTCGCGGGTGCACTGTGTGTGCGTGGGGAGTGTTGCAGTAGAACATTCAACTGTAGCGCTGGTGCATTAATGGGAAACCCTAAATGTTTGAGCACCCTCTATGAAACGTCAAGCTACCCCACAGCACCCCCTAGAGAAAATCTCTGTCGCCGCCACTGGTAACACATGCCAAACATGCTAAATCATATCAGAAGGCATCACCCAGATTTGCCAATCACCGGAGCCCGGCAAAAGACAACAGCAGTTCAACAGCTTATCCCCGCTGTTTTTAAGAAGCCAATAGACATGAAAGCGGTGAGACCAAAATAAATAACGGAAGCTTTTGGCATATATTTTTCAACGACTTTGCGCTCTTGAAACACTTTCTTATTATTTATGTCATATTTTCAAGACATTCTTTTTAGTTTTACAGCTTGATGAAACATTATTGTTTGACATCAGCCATTATAGATAATATGGCCATCTGAGTGTACTGTATGGTTTGTTTTTAACTGTTGAATACAGTTAATTATTCAGAATGTCAGAGTTCTTTATTTTTAAACTGAAACTTGCACTACTGTTCAAACATAAATAACAACAAACCTGGAATTATGCATTTGGGACTTTTTTTTGCTTTTTCTTGTTGTACCGAACCGTGACCCCCAAACCGAGGTACGAACTGAACCGTGAATTCTGTGAACCGTTACACCCCTACTGGTAATGTACTATCTGGAATCATTCTCTATAAATAGCATTTAAGAATCTTGTGTTTGAAAGCTATGTCTCATGCGCCTTTTAATATTCAACAAATGTAATTCAGACATTACAAAATTCTTCCTCCAGGCGGGCCAACAACATACTGGAAGCTCCATCATGTTTCCCTGAATGCCACCAAGCACTTCCAGGTGGAGTTTGAGGTGCGTAAAGGAGCAGGAAGCTCTACAGGCGGCTTCTCAATTGATGACATCAATCTGTCAGAGATTGAATGTCCACATGTAACCATGCAGCTTGATGACTTTGAGCGCAATTGGAATGCCAGTGATTATGGAGCCTCTAAATACAGCACTCGGTATTACTCCAGCGGGGGCTATGCTTACGCGCTAGCGATTAAGCTGTATGATACACATTTCGGATTGTTTGTGCAACTCGTGTCTGGTGAAAATGATGACCGGCTGGAGTGGCCTTGCACAGAAAGGCAGGTGACCTTCAAAATGCTGGCCAGAACGCCAACATCCTGCTGCAGATGTCCAAGCAATTTAGTATCACCAGTAACCTAAGCACATCCTCTAATGGTAAGTCTAAAAGAACATCAAAGTGTTCAGTATTTATTTACATGAGAAGTTTCTGGTTTAGAACAGTCTCTCGTTATTTAACTGAAATGATCTATTGCTCTCTTTAAACAGGCAGTTATGTGTGGGACAATCCTCGTCTGGATGGATTGCCTTACGTAGATGACAATGGTGAAACCATCTTTGCCGGAACTATGAATGGCAGATCTACTTTTTCCGATAAAGATTAATTAAAAACCAGGGAGTTCCTCAAGGGGGGAAGTGTCATTTTCACCTTTAGCTTCCAAGGCAAGCTGATTATTTTTCTTTAAATGTTTAAATGTACGCTAAGTGTAAGTATGGCACATAATTACCCAAGTTTTTTTCTTTGCTAGATATCACTGCTCTCATCAATGGAAGTGCTCTGCCAATTCCTCAAGTTGGACAAGTGAATATTAAATATCCTCCTAAAGAGCTGAAAGAAGACTCTTGTTCATCACGGTAGGACATTGTGTTATCATTTTTCAACACTAAAACCACTTGTTATTGTCAAAACAGAACTTTGGAGTTTCTTTGGAAAAACATTGGAGTTTAATATGTCTTTCAAATGATGCCATATATATATTTATTTTTGTTAAATGAAGCAATTCGATTTATATACACCTTTTCTAATTATTATATGCATTTTACAGCTTCAAATCCCGTGAGCCTCCAAGAACCACCGATGACAGGTATTTATATTGACTCACACAGTATAGATGAAAACCTTGTAAGCCATAAAAACAGTCGACTTTGAAAGCTTAATTTTATGCTGTTGAGACTACTTCCACTTGTTACAAAATACGGTTGTGTATGTTTGTAAGTGTCTAAAATCTTCATATCTTAATTCATCCTTTCTTCCGGCTTCAGCATGTCTGGCTTCTCTCCTGGTTTGCTGTGTTCTCCTGTCCTCACCCTCGTGCTAGCGGCGATACTTTTGATACCTTGAAGCACATCTCGCCTGTGAGCCTGTGACTTAAGATTTTCATCATCATCATAACTACACTGTAGCTATGTACGTATGACTAATAAAAGCCTTGAACCTCAGCTCATGACGGACCCGTAATGCAAAGTTATTCAGCTGTTGTACGTTTACGTTTACGTTTCTTTTGTTGTTTTCTTTCTCTCGTTTTTTCTCTAGTTATATACACAGATCAAAAATGGGTAACTCAAAAGGGTAAAACAAATATTGGTTACAACTGTATCACATTGTACAACAGCTTATGTGAAAGTCAATGAAATGCCTGCACAGAGTTGATGATGTTGTGACAATATATTTGTTATTGTGATCATGTCTGTCCGGGTCAAACTGATGATTGGGAGTTGATTATTATACCCATGTTTTCTTTTCTAGGTCCTCATTCCTCATGCAAATGAACTCTTAAATTGACATTATTTGCACAAAAAATAATTATTTTGGCATTATTGATTGTTTTGAAATACAGTTAAAAATGATTTTCAAATGTATGTAATAATTGAATTACTGAGCTCTGCTGCTAGTTTTAGTGCTTCACTCATTTAACAGGCCTGAAAACAAACTGCAGGCTATCATTCCCTAATATCAAAATACAATTCAAATATATCCTTCTTTGTTCATGTGTTATAATGTTCGAAAGACCTAGGACATTAATTAAACAGAATTGTATGAGAATTATTGTGTTTCAAGCTTTCTGACCCATGAAGGCAGTTATTATCTTTTCTACTTTGAATTCTTATGGAAGTGTATTCAAATAAATTAGAAATATAAGATTCGCTGCTTTCATAACTGAGGAAAATTTAAGTGTGAGCCTTTATTTGCGAAGTGGTTGCTAGTTCACAACATTATCATTTCTGAGAATATATACAGTGGGGCAAAAAAGTATTTAGTCAGCCACCAATTGGGCAAGTTCTCCCACTTAAAAAGATGAGAGGCCTGTAATTTTCATCCTAGGTACACTTCAACTATGAGAGACAGAATGGGGGGAAAGAATCCAGGAAATCACATTGTAGGATTTTTAATGAATTAATTGGTCAATTCCTCGGTAAAATAAGTATTTGGTCACCTACAAACAAACAAGATTTCTGGCTCTCACAGACCTGTAACTTCTTCTTTAAGAGCCTCCTCTGTCCTCCACTTGTTAACTGTATGAATGGCACCTGTTTGAACTCGTTATCAGTATAAAAGACACCTGTCCACAACCTCAAACAGTCACACTCCAAACTCCACTATGGCCAAGACCAAAGAGCTGTCAAAGGACACCAGAAACAAAATTGTAGACCTGCACCAGGCTGGGAAGACTGAATCTGCAATAGGTAAGCAGCTTGGTGTGAAGAAATCAACTGTGGGAGCAATTATTAGAAAATGGAAGACATACAAGACCACTGATAATCTCCCTCGATCTGGGGCTCCACGCAAGATCTCACCCCGTGGGGTCAAAATGATCACAAATCCCAGAACCACAGGGGGACCTAGTCAGGGGCGGACTGGCCATTGGGAATACCCGGAGTTTCTCCGGTGGGCCAATGCTGTGTGTGGGCCGGAGGGCCAAAAAAAAAGAAAAATTCTTTTTTTTTGAAAAAATCCTACCGGTCCACATTTGTAAGTGTTCCGGCCACTCCCTTTTTTTCTTTTGCTTACCTAAATCCTACCGGCCCACATTTGTAAGTGTTCCGGCCCAGCCCAGCCCAGTGGGGTGTGGCCAGGGTTGGGTTGTAACCATAGGTTGTAACGGAATACATGTAACGGTGTTACGTAATCAGAATACAAAAATCAAGTAACTGTATTCAGCTCGCGTTACATTTGAAAAACGAGTAATCTGATTACAGTTACTTTCGTAAACCATGAAGTGAATACATGTTGGATTACTTATTGGAATTATTGGTGGAAAGATTTCCTCACAACATTTAATATGCATTACTAAAGGTACAGCCGAATCATCACAGCGCACACAACCGCGCAGATGGACCAAAAAGGGGAGCGTTTGACAAAAATGTGCGGGTCCGCTCAGTGAAACAATAACAACGTAACATGGAGGAACAAAAGTCTGCGTTTAAATCTCGTGTGTGTGTGTGTGTGTGTGTGTGTGTGTGTGTGTGTGTGTGTGTGTGTGTGTGTGTGTGTGTGTGTGTGTGTGTGTGTGTGTGTGTGTGTGTGTGTGTGTGTGTGTGTGTGTGTGTGTGTGTGTGTGTGTGTGTGTGTGTGTGTGTGTGTGTGTGGTTAAAACACATCAGCCACACCGCTCTTTAGCCTTTCTAATGATTCTGAAGGTAAACACAGTGAAGGCACTGCGCGCTCCTCTTCTCACTTGGCTTACTATACATTCAAGTATCTTTATGATCTGTTTTCCTGAGATAATTCAATAACATAATAATAATATCAGTAGTATTATACCATTGTGAAGTGAAGACCTTTTTTTTTTAATGGAATACGGGATTTATGGCATGACATATTGAGACTTTTATGGCAAACAATTAACTTTTAACAACATACTTGACCTTTCATGTAAACATGAAACTAAGCTATAAAATACATTTTAATGACCATGACTGTGAATAAAACCTTTCATGGCACACATTCTATCACGTTTTTCAATACTATATTCGATAATACTATACATTTTATTTGGTATTTTACCAAATGCTGTGTTTATATACTTTGTTGTACTATACCCTGACCTTTTTGATACATTTTGGACATTGTAGGAGTTTTGTCATGATAATTTAGACATACTATACTATGATTTCCCCCATTTATTGTATGATTTTCCATGGTAATTTCAACATATTTCTCTGATGATGCTTACGTTTGATGGTGTTTTTATCCCATACTCCCCACAGTAAGAGAAACCATTTGAGAAAGTTTGTGCTGACAGTAAAGCCTGTAAAACATTTTATAAGTGAGCCCCAAGTAGAATATGAATAAGAAAATTAGCCTCATGTCACCTTTCTTCTACAGCCAGTTCTTCTACAAGCAAACGCAACATCCACTTTTACAAAAAGTAATCACATTTATTTGAATCATCTTACATGATCACCATATATTATGTCTAACCACTTTGATTTTCACATCACATGTTCTCATGCATCACTGATGCCCTCTGTTATACATCGCTCTAGCCTCTGGGTATATGGAATACACCATAAAAGGAAAGACATTTGTGCTACACAATGTAGGCATGGCTTGGCCAGTTCTGGCTCCTTGGTAGTTATCTTTGTCTCTCTGTCTGCCCCGGGAAATCACAGTTGTGTAAGAGAGTCTCTGAATCCAATTTCTAAAACTTAGTCCAGGTTCCGGTGTGTCTCCGTGCCGCTCCAAGCTGTGGCTCCAGGCGCCACCACACCGCTAGCCGATGGTGACACCGAAGCCACACTGGAACTTGTTCTTGCGGTGGTTGAGGAAAGCACCGAGAGCCAGAGTGAGGGGCAGCGGCAGCAGTTTCTTTTCCAGGGTAGCCCCAACCATCCAGTTACTATCAACCGTGCCTGAGGAGAGGAAGAGCACATTTTTTAAAAGAGAAAATCTATATTTATTTATCTAGTCATTTAATTTGTGTGGCTATGGGTGTATTAATACTGGATTTATTTACCTTTAAAGAGCAAGTTAGCTTTGGGAACGTCCAACTGGTAACCAAAGGACGCCGTAGTTTCTTGCATCCTTGTGTTGGCTTCAAATTCAACTCCTATCTGCAACTGTATTAGAAGATAGAAGTTAGAGAATAGATTTAAATGTTTTCATGTTTGTCGTAAAACAATACACACATGCCTATTCAAATTATGTTTCTACCATCAGTGCAAGAGAAGACGAGGATAAAATCCAAAGGCCTCATTTAATGCATAACATGTATTCTCAAGTTTAAACTATAATGAGGCTTCAGCTTCCCCCATCACTGATTCTTTGGACATGCAGTTGGGGAAAAAAACAAAATAGGGAAATATTACACTGCAAAACAATTCCCTTTGGAAGAGACTCACTAGTTCATACTGCTTAAGCTTAAAATCAGACTGAGGATTTCCCCCCCTTTCCTTATATTGAAATCTCTTTAGGAAAGGACCCATTTGATGGCCAGTATCAGGAGAAACCATTACAGTGGGCAAATAATGATTGATTAAAGAAGACCGTACATTTCCCCACTGTGGGGCGACTAAAGGCCTTTCTGAAAAACGTATGCTTTAAGTGAAAAATCTGAAACAAAATGCTGCATTTGAGAAGTTTTGGGAGATGAACGATGATGATTGATACACAGAAACTCAGAATTATAAACACACACTATTACTAATTTCAGGTACCTGATCATTGGCTTTGTGATAGTATGTAGCATGCGCTCCTGCTCCTCCCAAAGTCAATGTAGCTATGAAGTTGTCCCCTGGGGAGAAATAAATGATTTGAGAATCTATCACAGAGGTAACATAAGAATGAAATTAAATTTGGCTCCACGTCCATATCACACTACAGAAGAGTGATTAAATGAACTAACCATAATGAAGGACAATGTGCTAAATGAACAGGTAAATATAAGATTGAGAGAGTGACAGAGCAGGGATTCACCTGTGTACCTGCCCAACAGGGAGGTGACGGCCCCTTCCTCCCCCGGTCTCCTGTGGTACACCAGTTCTCCACCCATAGCCAGAGCTGGTGTGATGGACTGCAGATAGTGGCTCACCAAAATGCCTGAGGGAAAACAGGAAAAAAGCTTCAAATGATGTACACGGTATGGTCTCTTATCATCTGTATTTGTAGTATAGACATCCTGAATTAAACTGTGTGGAGTTGCTGGCAGGTTATATCAGATTTCAATAATCAATGGGAGAAACTTGACAACCTGCCAAAATGAAACTTAGCTGTTATCTGGTTAGTGCTCTCTGTAGCTAGTGTCTGTAATCTGCCAAAGGTTGTTTTTGAGGGGAGAAGCTCATAACACTGCAAGTTATTCTGTAGTCACAACAACTCCAACAAAGTTTGACTTCATTCCTATAACAGATCCTGTCATGCAAAATACAGGAGAGACATCAACTTTTCCTATCATGACTTAAAAGTGAATATTCTTGAACCAGGACCTGCAGCACTTTGATCAAGTAGTTTGTAAAAAGATTAGTATGGGCTACAACAAACCCCTCTGTGGAC